CATAGTGGTGCAGGTAACAATACTGTACTGCATATCTGAAAGGTGCTAAAGGGAGTAATTCTTAAAAGTTCTCATCGTAAGAAAAAACAAATGTGTAACTTTGTATGGTGACAGATGGTAACTACATCCATTGTGGTGGTCATTTCTCAGGGAATACGAATACCTAATCATTATGTTGTTCAACTGAACCTAATAAATGTTATATGTCAATTATACCTTCACCCAACTCCTTTGCTCATCTTATTAGGAGAAGACATGCAGGGCTCACAGCCTTTCTGTGGCAGCTTTCCTCTTCAGGTTCCTGGAGATGGCCACAGCAGTGTGCCTCTCATCCCACTTGTCTTCTCACTCCACGCCGCTGCTATTCGCCTCCTGAGTGGTGGCGGTCCATGTCCTCTCCCCGTGAACTCAGACAGATCCGAGTGACTGCCTTGACTGACAGAATGTGATGGGAGTGAGACTGTCGTATAAAAAGACAACATGGGCCTGGCTCAGTGGTTGAGCATTGATCTGTGAGCCAGGAGGCCACTGTTCGACTCCTGGTCAGGGCACGTGCTGGGGTGTGCAGCTCCACCCCCGGTGAGGTGTGTGCAGGAGGCAGCCAATCAGGGGTTCTCTCTCATCCCTGATGTTTCTATCTCTCGCTCCCTCTCCCTTCCTCTCTGAAATCAAAAAAAACAAAAAATAAAAAAAAAACAATAGAAGCGACATGGCTTTCACCTGCTTCTCTCTGTCTCTGTCTCCCTCTGCACTTGCTTTTCTATCCAAGCTACCATGTTGTGAGGAAGCCCAAACATGAGAGAACACAGTTAAAAATCCATCGGACAGCCTCAATGATGGTTCCAGCTAACAACCAACATCAACCCCTAGACAAGCCTTCGGAGCAGATGCCCGCGGGACTTTCTGTGATCCTGGGAATTTCCTGCCTGTGCCCTCCAATATACTGTAGCAACTTACCACACATGAGTCCATCCAGCAATTATAATGTAGCACGTATGAATTTAGGAATACATTTTTAAAATCGTATTTAACATTAGATAATTTAAATTTAAAAATTACATCTGGCTAATGGCTGCCACATTGGATAGTTCAGCACCACAGCCTCGGAGTCTTCCAGCTGAAGCAACAGACATCACGGAGCAGAAACAAACCATCCCATGGCCCTTCTCTGATTCCTAGCTCTTGCAAACCAAGAGAAATAATAAATACATGCTACTCGGTTTTGAAGTGATTTATGACACTTCCATCAATAACAAATAGACACTCTCTATAGATTCCCCCCCGTGTTTGTTTTTTGTTCTCACAGCAAATAAAAATGCACAAATCTCCTGCATCTTTAAAATCCCTCTAGCCATGGTTATGTGTATCTTCTTTTTACAGCCAGTTTTTTAAATAAGCCCTCTACATTTGCCCTCTTTACTCACAACTACTTCTTTAGCAGACACCCACGAGGCTCCGGAAACAAATGAGGTCACAGTAACGTTAGTTCAGGCTTATTTCTCCCCCTTGGAAAATGCAGGCCTTCAGTACTGCCCCCTGTCTCTACGCTTCCCCTATCTATTTCTGACCAAAGCCCACTTTAGCACAAAAAGCCACCCCCCTCCTGGCCAAGAAATTGCAAACAAACAAACAAAAAAAAAACCACTTTTTTGTTTGTTTGTTTGTTTTAGCAGACTAGAAAAAGATGTCCCTTTTAGAAAAAGATGCTCCTTAGAGGGTCAGGGGAGGGCGAGGCAGCCCTCAGCCAGGGTCCATAGCTTATGCATGGCGTGGCAAGGGGAGTGCAGGCTGGGTCTCAGCCCCTGCTTGCTCCCCTCAGCCAGGTGTCCTGTGCAAGGCACCAGCAGTACAACCAAGGCGGTAGCTGTGATTCTTGGATGCGAAGGGCTTTCTCACGCATGTCCGTCAGCATTCCTCTCACGGGCTGCGGTGGTCTCTTTGTGCATGCCTCCCTCTGGCCCATGAAACCTTTAGAGGCTGGCGTCTTGTGAAGCACCTTGGATGTGGACACCGCTTCCAGCCCAGAGGGCTCCCCAAACTGCAGAATCCTTGGCATCCTAAAGCAGAGCTCTTTCCCCGCTCATCCCTGCGCCATGATCTTCACGAGCCATAGAGAAGGACCTGTCTGCCCCTCCTTGTGGCACTGAGGCTCCCGTGCAGACAGCTCTGTCAGCTGGCGTCCCTGTCTATTGCTCTTCACAGGCTTCAGAATCAAACATAGGGTGTGATGGGGCCAGGGAACAGGAAGCCCTCTCTTTCCTTTCCACACAGCTCCCAGCACCAATGAGCGAATCTCCCCTTCATGATTCCCCTTCTCCCTTCCTGAAACTATTGATAGTCTGTCCCCCAGACCTCAAATGGCAGCGGGGGATCCCAAAGAAACACCATGATAGCAAAGTGAGTAAAACTCTCAAATACTATTTTTGTCCAAATATGCCAGACATCCGGGCGAAGAGTGTGGTGTAGGGTTTTGATTTCCTATTATAGAACAGTGGTCGGTAGCATTGGGCATTTTCCACAGTAAAAAGGAAAAAAAAATATTAATAGGTGTGGGTTGAAAGAAAGTTTATCATAAGTAAGTTAGAACCGTGGTCAGCAAACTTCTGCTCACAAGCCACCTGCGGCTCTTTGGCCCCTTGAGTGTGGCTCTTCCACAAAATATCATATACGGGTGCACACATACAGTGCGATTGAAACTTCGTGTCCCATGCGCAGAAGTCGGTTTTTGGCTCTCAAAAGAAATTTCAGTCGTTGTCCTGTTGATATTTGGCTCTGTTGACGAATAAGTTTGCCCACCACTGTTCCAGAACATTCTACCTCTATTACAAAAGTGACAAAGTATTTGCATGACACCAGCTCCCCAGAGTGCAGTGAGTTACCTTCCCCCTCTGTGGGGAAAACTCAAGTTCCCCTCACAGGAGGCTGAGTAAATGCCTGTTTGTGCTCCGCGGGGGTGTTTTCAGTCTCAGAAGGCATAGTTATTGGAAACAATCTTCGTATAAGCAGGCCCAAGCAGCTCTAACCTGCATTGCTCAAGAGTGAACTGTATATGCAGTTCACATTGGGGGTAGGCACATGGATCAATATGTGACACAGTCCAGTCTAGAATGAAAGGTCCAGTTTATAGTGAAGGGCTCTCATTTGTTTGGAGGACTCCAAAGTATTACTAATCATGCTATTATACTTTACCACTGCAGTAAAAGTATTATGAAGTTTTGTAACTAAATCCAAATTTTCCCAATAAGAAAGACATACCACACGCCTTTCTCCCCTGTTCATCCATTTTGGAACACTAATTTAATAAATGTATTGGTTTTTAATCAGGTAGGAAGCTGTTACACTTTTAGTCTAGGTTGAATAAACTCAGTTTGACAAGAGAAAAGGAAATACTGTTTTTCCTAAGATGACATTTTTGGGTATCATTGTCAAAATATTATCTGGTAGAAAAACATTGCAAGAATGATTAATGTGTATTTAATTTTTCTTTTTTCAGCCATAATTAGTGCAAGTCCTCAAAATCTTGTAAAATGTATCTTTCTTTTTAATGTGAATAAACATAAAGCCCTCAAAATGATAGTGATGGTTACTAAAATTCAACATTTTAAAGAAAATATTTTATACATAAAATATAATGTGTAACATTATAATTTATGGATAATTTTATATTTAAAATAAAATACATCTGGATTATTTTAGGTATTCTGATATAAATATAGTAAAATAAAAGTTGTGTTTAAACATTAATTTTGATACATCAAGAAATAGGCCAGTTATACAGAATTATCAATCTGTAATTCAGATCCTATTTCTTCTATGGAACAAAGCTAGAAGGAATTCCCTCTACTGGTTTTCCCCTGGGGATATCTGGGTGTGGTTTATTTTCTTCTCTGGCTGGAACAAAAATATGCAGGAAAATCTTCTTCTACAACAAAAATTCCTTGTTCTTACAAGCAAACTTAAGGAGGAAAAAAAGAAGCAGATCAAGACTGGCTTAATTGTTTGTTTATACTGGTGCATATATTAAATTTTTTCCAGGTTAAAAAAAATGAATAAAGCCATAGGGAAGATATATGCAGTAGTATATTTAAGCTACCAGCTCACACACACTTTAATAGCTGAAAGTACATAAAGATATGAAGATGGCAGTAAAACAGTAAGCAGTTATGAAACATTACATGGATTCTTATTCTTTACTAATTAAAGGAAGCTAGAACCTGATAATAATATGCCGCATACAGTTCAGACCCACACAAAGGCTGCTTAATTATTTATTTTGTATTCGCTCCTTTTAGGAAGTGAAGAAAAAACAGTTCTACAGGCACTCAAGTTTATTTTTCAATTAAAATCCCCATAAATTATAAAACATCTCATAAAACAAGGGAAAATGGAAAAATATTATTCAGAAAAAAAAAAACCTTTCTTAAATATGTTTCCCCCCCTGTAATGCCTTGGATTGTAAATCAGTCTTAAAAGGCCACTTAAAATAATAATTCACCCTCTGTGTTCCTGTTTAGGATATCACATAATAATGTTTTTTTCCTTTGGTGCAAATAAGAGGAAATTTTTCTTCTTGCTTAGTTTTGAGCATTGAAAACGCTTGCCCCTCCTCCAAATTCTGCCATTTGCTCATGTCGCCACATGAATAAAAGGATGCCACTTAGAAACCGGGGCTTTGCTGCCATTGTGTTTTTCTAATTAAAATTCAGAGTATTAAGCACAGTTGAGTACGTCCATGCATCCATGACATACCGTTATCACATACCGGAAGCTCCAATCAAGAGCACTGAGCAAGGCTCATTTCATAACATCATTAACATTCATTGTATGCGGCGGCTCAGAAAGGCTTTGTCAAAGCAGATAATAACGGCCTGTCAGAAAAGTGCAAACAGAAATTTATATTAAATTGCCCTTTTCTTAAAGTATGGGAATCTAGTTGCCTTTCCAGTTTCTGGCTCAGAGCTTAACTCAAAAGGCTCTCAGGTTCTTAAGACTGCAAAATATTACAAAGAAATAGAGTATATTTTTTAAAAAGTCAAGTAAGAAATATTTGAGTAACTAGGTAGTGGTGAAGTATTGGCGCACAATGACTACATGAATGAAAACAAAAGAAGATGTAGCTCAGGAGTGTGAAGGTAGAACCCATGTGAGTCATAAGGCAGAGTGTTTGATTTGGAACAAGTCAAATAAAAACATTGCTTTCTTTTCCTTAAGAACTTTTGATACTCTTTATGTTATAATCTCAGAAAAGAAAGCTCTGTCATTGAAACATTTTTTTTTCTACCCTGCTGAGTGAAGATGCCTGGGGAGACAAACTTCCCATGGTGGCTTCCTGGATGTAGCTGTAAGTCTGATGTTATCTGGAGAGAAGTTACTTCTTTAGACACCATACTTTTCTTTGCCATGTTCATTGATCACACATATATGCTGAATCAATAAAGAATTTAATAATGTGTCAGTTTCTTAACAAAATATGAGGTGCAGACAATGTTATGCAATAATAAAGACCATCATCCTGTATTGGTTACTGTTTATTTAAATACCAGAGGCCTGATGCATGAAATTCATGCATAGGCAGGGTCACTAGGCCTGGCTGGTGATCAGGGACAATCGGTGGGGCAACTGGCAGAGCAATCTGGAGGCCCCTGCTGGCACCTACCTTGGCTGGCCTGGGGCCTGTGGGCTGGGGGCAGCTCCTGCATTGAATGTCTGCCCCCTGGTGGTCAGTGTGAGTCATAGCAATCGGTCGTTCCACCAGTTGTTTTGCTGTTCAGTCGATTTGCATATTAGGCTTTTATTATATAGGATATTTGTATATTTATGTGTGTGTATGTAACATCAAAAGAAATCCATTCAAATGTTTGACAAAAATGCTTTATTGTTTTAGTTTTGAGCCTTTTTCTAAATTTGGCTCCCTAAGTCTGTAACAACCAGAAATGCTGAGGGAACAGTATGGTTAGCTGTGGTAGAGATAGAAGTCTCCTACTGGTAAAATTACAGCCCCTAGGGTGAATGGAGAAACAGTCATAATAAAAATAATATGGACTCTTATTTGACCCTTTTGGATAGTAAGAAATGTGTCAGGAATATTTTGGTTCAAGCAACAGAAATGGAGTCAGGCTAACAACATAAGCAAAATAGGGAGATTTGTTGGTTAGATACTGGGTAGCTAACAGAAGCAAAGAAAGGGCTGAGCAATGAAGGAAATGGAAGACAGGAATAGGGGTAGCTCTAGACTCAGTCCATTGGTTAAGCCCCAAACTCCTTGGTCTCTGTGATTTTGGTTTAAGTTTCAAATGAGAAAGAGGGAAGAGGGGAGATAGAGGGAGGAAGAGAAAGAGAGGAGAGAGAGAGAGAGAGAGAGAGAGAGAGAGAGAGAGAGAGAGAGAGAGAGAGATTGGTCTGGTCTGTTTTGGGTAAGATGTCTAGATCATTCCGTGATGGTCTAGGGGCCACACAGCCAGGGGTCCATGTCTATATGTGAAAACTTTGGCAGGCAATTAGATAGTCATAAGCAGAACAAGGATGATGGGCCAGGTACAGAAGGTCAACAGGGTACAAAATTCTGTGTGCCTAGCAAAGGACAACTGTAGCATAGGATCTCTTCTCCAGGGTGACCTTTCCTCTCCTAGCATGTCGATGTTCCTGCAGTTCGGACTCCTGGCCTTTCCTCCCTAGAGATAACATCTAGGCCTCCATTGTGCTTCAGCTCCAGGCCCAGAAGAGCAACAAAACCAGACAAGCTAACCCCAGGGCCAGCTACACTGACTAATGACCCCCTGTGCCAGCCAATCAATCAGTGGAGCCCTCAACCCTGAAAGACACACCTGAAAAGCTGCTGTGATTATCTGTGAATAGTCTATTGAGCTATTCCCCTGAGACTTCCCCTAAAATCTCCACCTTAAAAACCCTTAGGACAGAAAACCCATCACACTCTCCCTTATGGGAGCACATTTCAGTTTCCCCCTCCACTCCCCCAAACCCCGAAGTGTGTCACCTTGACTTGCCTCAAGTCGAAGCTCCAAGGGCCTTTCTTTTACCTACATAATTTGTTTCCTAAGCCCATTTCTTCTACAGATTACTTCTTATACCTCTGTGATTTTCCAAATAAATGTTCTCTTATAGTTTGAGTCTTGGCTCTAAATTCTTTCTTAGCCACAACTCAAGTACCAATGTTGCTGAACACAGGTCCCAGTGTGATCCCACCGGTGTAACACCTGGTGCTGTTCCTGCGGCCAATGAAACTACTGCCCCCAAATTGGGAACAGTTATGAGTTAGCTGCAGGCCACTCGAATTGGTACCTGCTAGATTTCAAGCTCCAATCCAAAAAAGGTTATAAAATATTTACTGTTAGGGGCCCAGCACCCGGACTCGTGCACTGATGGGGTCCCTCAATCTGGACTGAAGGGATTGGGCTGAAACCAGCTCTCTGAAATCCCCTGAGAGGTCCTGGATTGCAAGAGGGCGCAGACCAGGCCGAGGGACTCCACTGGTGCAAGATCAGAAATGGGGAGGGACCACAGGAGGGCAGCCCGTCTCGCCAAGTCCTGATTGGCCTGACCCCAGCAGCAAGCTAACCTACTGGTTGGAACATCTGCCCCCTAGTGCTCAGTGCGCATCATAAGGACTGGTCGAACTGTTGAACAAACAGTCAGACACTTAGCATATTATAGGCTTTTATTCTAGGATTACTATGGGTAAGTAGGCATAGTAAATGACTTGTAGAAAAATCAATACCAAGCCATAGTTCTGCTTTTGGCTTCCTTATTTCTTTAGTATAAAATAGAGCTCATAAAAAAATAAAAATTGAAATTAAAAAGAGATAATCATAATTGCTTCTATCAACCTAATTTCTCCCTTGCAGGGTAGTGGGGGGAGTGAATTGAGATTGTGCATGCAAAGTGCCCAGAATATTCCTGACATAGAAGTTACTCAATAGCCGAAACCGGTTTGGCTCAATGGATAGAGTGTCGGCTTGGGGACTGAAAGGTCCCAGGTTCGATTCTGGTGAAGGGCATGTACCTTGGTAGCGGGCATATCCCCAGTAGGGGGTGTGCAAGAGGCAGCTGATCGATGACTCTCTCATCGATGTTTCTAACTATCTCTCTCTCCCTCACTGTACAAAATCAATAAAATATATTTTAAAAAAAAGAAGTTACTGAATAAATGACAGCCACCATTACTACTAGTTCAATAATTAGTTAAATTGATGGAACTGTTAAGTCCTTGTGAAATGGGGGTAGGGATATGCATGCAACACTTACATTAAAATCTCTGAAGTATTCATTGTAATCTAAGGCATAACCCACCACAAATAAATTTGGAATCTCAAATCTAGCATCTGAGCAGGGAGAGAGAAGAAGAAAAAAATTTATATAACAAGCATAAAGCTACCATATGTTAGTGTTGACACTTCAATGGTGAGGACTTTTCATTTAGGCAGAAGCAAGTGAAAAACGTGATAAGCAATGCACAGGATGAGCCCAGCAGGGACCTGGACCCGAATGAGTACTAAGGAAAACAAGACAAACAAGTCAACATACAATAAAGAATGACTGTACTTCCGGTATCTGGAGCTGAGAAAGGGCTCAGGCAGCCCAGGAGATAGAAAGAAATACACATGAGTTAGTAATGTGGGCTTGTTGTTCCAAAGCAGTATCCAATGGCATCATGCCAATGCAAACACTCTGAAAAGCACAAAGTGCAGTTCACACAGGAGGCATTATGATACCTCAGTATGTGAGTAGGTGTGCAGGCTGTTGCAACTAAGAGGTGATCCTCACACCACTCAGTGTCTCCGGCAGGAGAAAGAGCTGGGAAGCAAAACCAGGGAGACAATATGAAGGAAATGGAATTGTTCAGCTTGAGAAAGAGAATGTTTGGCATTCACAATGCAGATGACAATGATTAGCTCTTTATCTCTATTAAGGGCAGAAGGAGAGTAAATGGATTTAAATGCAGTAGAAGGTACTCAGGTTAAGCAAAAGAACAATTTATTGAAAGAAATATTATTATTATTTTTTTAAATAAGGATTCTTAAAGAAAAGACAATTGCTCTCTTTATTGGAGGCCTTGAAACAGAATAAATGTGCTGTTGTCCAATGATTTTTCAAGATCCTTCCAATGTTTTGAAGTCTGTTTGTTTGTCACAGGATTGCAGATGAGCAATATAATTGCCTGCTTTTATGAAACTACTAGTAGTCCTGTGCACAAATCCGTGCACCAGTAGCTCTCCAATAGCTCGCTGTCGCCCTCCAGTAGCTCTCCACCAGCTGCCCCGCCCTCCTGTAGTGCTTCCCTCCCCCATAACTTGCTGCCCTGCCCCCTCCTTTAGTTCTCCACTGCCCACTTGTAGCTCACTGCTCCACCCTCCTGCTGATCCGAGACCTGGTCGTTACGTGGTCAGTCATTACGCTTCATGGCATAATGACCATTTGCATATTACATCTTTATTATATAAGATATTTGATGCAGCCGATGGACTTAGAGCCCTGAGAAAGTTACCTCCGTGGTACTGCCCACCACCGCTTTGATTCCTGTGACCAGAGATGCTTCCAAATAAAGAAACAAACTGCTTCTTGCTCACAGAACATGCTAGATGCCAGGTACTTATTTTCTGGGGGACTACATTATGTGTCACTATTTGACTATCCACTCTGTAGGTTCTTGAGAAAAATAATCAGAGGAGATGGACGAGCAGATGAACAGATGTCATTGGACGTAGAGGAAAGAGTCAATTAGGAGAAAGGAACAAAAAGCACAAAGATTCAGAAAACCGGAAACAAAGAAGAAACAGGGATTCTGAGCTAGCTGAAAGAACATTAAGAAACCCTGATTGTACAATAACAATAATAGTGACTTTACAGTGAGCAATGCAAACCCTAGAACAGGCATGGCAACTCAGACTGGGAAAAGGCAATTGAGAAAGCCAAACCTTCAGAGTGTTATGGGATACGAGGGAGACGTGGTTGAATAGGACGGGAGCCAGAGTGACCCATCTCTAACTGGTAAATGGGTGCAAGTCCTACTCTTCTGTCTGCAATTGCAAGTATATTGCAGGAGTAAGAACAGTGATTAAAACCAGACTGCCTGGGTACAATACTGACTCTACAGTTACAGTCATGTGACCTTGGCAAGCTATTTAATCTCGTTATGTTCAATTTCCTGGTCTGTAATGTGGGCATAACTTTAGCATCTACCTTAGAGGACTAAGTGTGTTAATCTGTGTATAGCTCTTAGAACAGAGTCAGGAACATCATAACCACTTGCTAGTGGTTGCTGTTATTACTTTATTAATGTTGTTACTACCAGTGACACAGAAATTAGTAATTACCTGGATGTCCGAAGTGAATGTCTTTCAGTTAAGACTTTTTCTGAGCAATGTCTTCCATTATTTCCTTAGGAGATTTGTGTTTACTAACCATGTCCAACTTTAACTATATCCGAATTATATTCCACAAACCAGTAACTGGACAGGAATACTCTTTTGGATCTATCTGCCCAGAATGGACATTTTCTAGATTTAATACATCCCACACAGGAATGGAACTTGTGTTTTCGAATAAAGAGTCACTGGCTAGATAGCACTGGCACATTACCCATCCATAGCATGCTTCTCTTGCTGCAATGTTTGTTCAGCTTGCTAATGAGAACTGTGGCCAAATTATCCCAGAGGCTAGAGAGCAAATGTAAGTTATAAATATTAAGCTGAAGTCTGCCTATGCAAGTAAAAAAAAAGAAAAAAAATCACCTCCGGTGTTAGAATAATAAATAATCAAGTTGCTTGTTTATTTTCCTGCCCTAGGTGAGGAAAGTCTTCCAGAACACATCTGAAGGCAAGTGTGAAGATAGTGTCTATAGATATTTGCTCTGCTAATTCTCTGTTATTGTTGTTTCTGTGAAGTTATATATTATTTTTTTTATTGAATTATAGTCAACATACAATATGATCTTAGTCTGAGGTGTACAACATAGCAGTTTAATGTGGTTTTTTAAAAATATATATATTTTTATTGATTTCAGAGAGGAAGGGAGAGGGAGAGAGAGAGATAGAAATATCAATGATGAGAGAAAAATAATTGATTGGCTGTAATCTGCACACCCCACATTGGGGATCAAGCCCACAATCTGGGCATCTGCCCTGACCGGGAATTGAACCGTGACCTCCTGGTTCATAGGTAGACACATTCAACCACTGAGCCACTGCACCTGGGCATGGGTGGATGTTTTCATACATTACAAAATGGTCAGCACAAAAGCTCTTGTTATCATCTGATATCATACAAAATTATTGCAATATTATTGACTACATTCCCTATGCTGTTCACTTAATTCTTCGTTTTACTGAACTTTTGTTTGGAGTGGTGGGGAGATGTCTTGGATTTCCCCTTTGTGTGCTAAAATTCAGGCTCGCTTTATGTCTGCACTGTGCATTGTCTGGTATGAGAATGCCTCTGACCCGTTCCCCGGCCTCTCCATGTCTGATTGTGGTTCCATGGCAGGAACCCTGTGCGCCTGTGTCAATCCAGAGAGGCCGAGTCTTCCTCCTCCACCTGAAACTGGTTCTCTGAGCTCTTTGGAGGTAAAGTGCTATGGAAAACCCCAAAATCAAAATACCCATGCACACAACTGAGTTCCTGTGAGTGGTACAAGGCAGGAAACATAAGCCCCTCGTTGTAAAGAGTTCTAGTTTCGCTAGCAAGGCCGGGAATTTGTGGGTCTTTCCAACCTATGCAGCTTCCACTTCAGACAGAATGCCCACAAATAGAAATTTCTTACACACAAACTACCAACTCGAGGTAACCCATTAACAAACAAAAACCAAAACACTTAACAGTCAAGTCTAAAGCCATCACTTCTAGGTGTCCTCTTCACCAACAAACTACCATTAAAAAAAAGGAGCGGGGGGAGGGGGGGTTAGTGATCCAAAGAAAATCTCTGTGAGTTGCAAATAGACTGAAGTATCATTAAAATAAGTAGTATTTAAAATATGTATTACTCCCCCCCCTCCCTTGAGCACCTGGGGCATCACCCCAGCCCCCCAACTCATGCATCTGCTACTGCAGCACCAGCTCAGTGACTCTCAATAAAGGAAGGGAGGGGGCCCTGCCCCGGGGCCCAGCCAGCTGCTCCTGGGAACAGCTCGAGGCACAGTCAAGAGGGGTTCGGCCACAGCAAAGCCTGTGCTCTTCCCTGTCCTCTCCCTCAGGCCTGCGGTTCCATGGGCTGTGTTATAGTGTGGGCAAACTGGAACACCCCAGAGCAGAAAACCACTGGTTTGGAACAGACTGCTCTCTCTGAAAACAACACCCCGTACCAGCATCCAAATCCCTCTTGGGCTCCTTTGGAAAGATCGAAACAAGGATGTGCGTCCCCCTCACCTGGCCACCTTACTCTCGTGGGGCTTGTTTTTCTATGCTGCTGAGCAGCGCTTTCATAGTCCTCCCCGTTCCAACAACACCCTCTGCAAAGAGAACAGACACATTTATCCAAATGCACTTGGGCAGCATAGTAGATTTTTCATTCAGGCAGATAATTATATTCCTTATTAATAATGCATCCTAATTAGAATTGCGATCAATTGGACTCAAAGTAGGAGGCAGAATTGGTTCTTTTTTATTTTTATTTTGGACCAGTGCTTCTTTCTGGAAGCTGAGTTGGAGAAATACATTGGTATTTCCTCAAACTCTGAGCTGGGTTGAAAGGCTAAATTCAGCTTTTGGAGAGCATGTGGGGCTCTCTCTCAGTGCATTGGGACTCTCTTGCGCACATTCAAAAACTACGCTTTGGCCCTGAGGTTATGTGACATAATACAGGACGCATGAATTTTCATGGACCAGGGATGTACATCTGAATACACTGAATGGGTAACACCTCCCCCTTGCTCTCCCCACTCAATAGGGTCTCTGCTGCTAGGAAGTGAGATGTGTCTGGCCGGCAGCTGGTGACAGCCCTTGAATTCTGAGGGTGCGAGCCTGCAGTGAGCAGAGGCTCATCTCCGCTGATGAGCTGCTGCTCAATTAAAGCAGAATGGGCAGCAGCAATGTATTGTCCTTAAGACAGAAATCAGCTGTCAGGAACTGATTATCAAAACAAGAGGTCTGAATTTAGCCCACGTTGGGCAATTCATTTGGCTAGAGGGTCTACTTCATGGGTTATGTCTGAGCCAGGACTGCAGATACATATGGCGCACACAGGCAATTGTGTAACAAAAGCTTGAAGACAGATCCCCTGAATCTCAGCCAGCTGATAAGACAGGTGTGCTCTTGAAGGAAACAGGAACATGTGCAGCCCACTGCTGCCCCAGGGCCTGTGTTTTCTCTCTCTTCTTTCTTTTCTTTTCTCCCTTCCTTTCATCTCTTCCTTTCTCTCTCTCCCCTCCACTCTTTCTTTTTTTTTTTTTTCCCCTCCCTCTCTTCCTTCTTTTTAAAACAGAACCCGTTAAATTAATTCATAGTTTTCCTTTGGACTGCCATTTTAAAATTAATTAAATTTGTGATTCGGATGCAGCAGCTAGAATTGCTCAAAGTCATTAGCAAGAACACTGAGGTAAGGGTGAGGAGGATTCTAACCTTGGCATAAGTATTAAATAAATTTGGCTTTGTGGGTTAGCTTTCTCTTTTGTAAAAATGTCTGATTCACAATGGGTACAATAATCAATTTAGACATGTTTGGAATTAAATATAGAAACCTTTTAAATGAGTAATTTCAAATCATTAGGCTCCTTTGGAAAGACCGAAGCAATTTTAGTTGGCTCCTACTCAATAAATCTGGAGAGCCACGCACACGGAGGAACTCAATGAATCGGTGAGCAACTTGATAACGAGCTCTATATTTTAAAACTCACCATTCACACTCAACTTCTAAATATGGGTAAGAAGTCAGTTTACCTCAACAATGAGGACATTCTGAAAAAACAAACAAACAAACAAAACCACACCAGTTATTTTCAAATTGAATGAAAACCTGGCTCACAAGATCAGCACACATTTTGCTCACAGGTGGAATTTTTCAATTTACGTATTTGTTCCTCCCCCATTCATTTAACCCAAATGGAGATAATCTAGGTATTCCAGATTCATTTTAATAGTCTCTCTGGAATTACTTGGTGCTGCAATATTTATTAATATTTATATTCAGGTTAGGGGCAGGCTTATCTTCGACCCTGTCTGAAGAGCTTACCCATAGTCATCCCACCTTCATAATTTTGGCAAGTGCCCCACCCAGCAAGCATTCTTTGGGATACAAAGCTTACTATGCATTTCCCAGGAAAACAAAGCTGGCATGAACTGCAGCACTCATGGAGATAGTGCTCTGCAGAGGGATCATGTGTTCGGCTGGGGCCCTTTTCCTGCATAGCTAACATCACTGGGATGCACCACGTACTCTCAAATTTTTAACCCTGAGGAAAGGGGTTGGATACAGAGAGGGCTGTCAGGTGCCTGGTTTATGTTTTCAGCGATATGATTAGGTTCTTTGCTATGTGCTTTCAAGTCATTCATTGACTTCTCCCCAGAGAACACTGGTTATATTTCATTTAAATTTCTTTTTTGACCTGTTTTTCCCACTACAGTATAAAGTCCATGCGGTGGGAATCATATTTGTCTTGTTTGTTACTGTATTCTTATAGTAACAAAGGTCCCCAGCTGTATATAGATGCTAAGTAATTATTTGTTGAATGAAGGGATAATAATTAATTATACTTATTGATGAGTTAAAATCAACCAATTAAGTGGATTAGTAGTTACATGTCAACACCGTCCCACCAAATTAAAATATGACTGTATTATTATGCCATTCCAATTAACTAAGTGGTGTGGATATTCCCTTAGTGAATTGGTTTCTTTTTTTAAATGATCTTTCGTTTATCCCAATTATTCATATAATAGTTTAAAAATTGGATCAAGCCTTACACCTTAGATATTTTCCATATAGTATTGAAAAAGAGATTTAAGTGATACAAATGTTGACCAACCAACTAAAAAGTCTGTTAGATTCACACTGTATTACTTTGTGTGTCAAATGCATTTTTTAAGTGAAATTCTTTCTAGAAGTGTTTTTCTCTCAGGTATGGCATTTTATTCGTTAAACTCATGTTAAAAATTGTAATTTTATCACTAAAATGTAAGATTATTTTTTATTTTTTTATAAATATATATTTTATTGACTTTCCACAGAGACGAAGAGAGAGTGATAGAGAGTTAGAAACATCGATGAGAGAGAAACATTGATCAACTGCCTCCTGCACAACCCCCACTGAGGATGTGCCCGCAACCAAGGTACATGCCCTTCAGTCCGCAGGCCAACGCTCTATCCACTGAGCCAAACAGGTTTCTGCTATTTTGTCTACTTTTAAAGTAGGTCACGTTCCCAGTGTCCTTTCTACCCTGAGAATTTTACTGACACAGGAATCCCCTTGGTATTTTCTACATGTTTGCTCTGCTCTTCACCATCAACCCATAACAGTTAGTTAGGATGTGAATTTTTAGTTTGATAGAGACTTATCAACCATGCCTATTAACCAATTGGAATACTTGGAGAATATTTGGTCAATTTAATTTCCTAGTTCACAGTCTCTTTTAGTGTTTATCTGATAATGAAAAACCTTTCTAAAATCTGTTTGTCTGAATTCTTGCCTAATGAAGTAAAGTTCACTAAAAGTAATTAAATCTGTTTTGTAAAGGTTCAAAATCTTGCAAAGCAAGACTCAATTTAGAAAAGATTAGCTTCAACTATAGGATGTAGTGGTGGCTGTGTATTAATCCAGATATATATTGTCAAAATTACTTAAACACATTTTGAAATCAAGGTGATGTTCAAAATCAAATAGAAAAGTCGGTTGATGTGTGCCTTTTTAAAGTATTTTAAAATGTTTATATATTTTAAAATATATTAAAGTTATGATATTCTTTATTATGCGTAGCTAAATATTATCACTTCTAAGAAAAATGATAATTTCTATTATCATATAAAAGTTGGTGCGTATTTAAATTTCCCCAGTTGCCCTTAAAATAGCCTTCTGTAGTTGGTTTGTCAATCTAAGATCATGCCCTGGATTTGTAATTCTCTTTTAATTTAAAATATCTCTCTTTTTCTGAACTTCTGTTTCTCAATTTAATACTTTTTGGTATCATCTATTTGCTGTATTGCACAATAGACGAGAATTTAGTTCTTTCGCACTAACTCACTTCTTTTCCCCCATCCCCTAATGCAATTACTTTGTTATGACTCTATCTTCTTGTACTGCTTACATTTTCCCCAATAAAGAGTGAAGTAGTGTCCTATAATTATATTTCCTCTTAGAGCTGTTTACTTTTCTTCTTGGAATTCATAATTTTTTTTTTAAATTGTCTTCCAATGTCTTATCCTGAAATAACCCTCCATTATTTTTTAAAGTCAGCTTTTCTTTCTTGGAATAATTATTGTGAGGAAAACATTGGTTAGTTTAGCTATATTTCTCACAGGGTTTCTGGAGGACTAAAGAATGTGTTGGTACTATCTGTAACAATGCCAAGACCTTTCTGTTATGTATAGCATTGTACAGTATTAGAAAGTACAATCATTTAGTGGGCTTATGAATGATGGGCAGGGAATGCTGGTATGGACACACTGACTGCTATTGAAAGGAAACTATGCAGGTATCTAGAGTTAGTGAATGAGTTCTACAGAACAGTATTACATATATATTTACTTTCATTTACAGAACATCATACTATGTTTTCAAATTCTTCATTAGTAATATATGCCACTGTCTGGATTTTTCAGTGGGACATGAAAAGTTCATCTCTAACTAAAGCAATGCCTTCCATGCTTTTGGAAACTTGACTCCGTCATGTGAAACTTTTAGGGGTAGAATTAGAGCATTGGGGACTAGCTATTAGTTATAACAAATACTAATAAGAAATATTAATTGTGCCCAAACCGGTTTGGCTCAGTGGTTAGAACGTCTGCCTGCGGACTGAAGGGTTCTGGGTTCTATTCCAGTCAAGGGCATGTACCTTGGTTGCGGCCACATCCCCAGTGGGGGGTGTGCAGGAGGCAGCTCATTGATGTTTCTCTCTCATTGATGTTTCTAGCTCTCTATCCCTCTCCCTTCCTCTTCGTAAAAAAAATCAATAAAATATATTTAAAAAATATTAATCGTGCTCTGTTAACCATGATTGTTTTGTTCTGATTAAGGAAAGCACATTCAAACCTGGCTGGGAATTGTACAGGAGACCCGGAACACACCTGGAAATGCAGCCCATCCCCCTCATCTGGGAGCTGCCTATCACCATGGCAAGATCAACAAACAATTCTGTTGCGGAAAGGCAGCAATGGAGTCCCAATGCCCCCTGCCCTTTGCAAACCCCCAGCCCACATTGCCCACATTGCCTATAATCTGTAACCATTATATCCATTCTTATTCCTTTTCCCCACTTCCCCATGTAATCTTTGTCTGTATCCCATATAAGCAGCTGGTTTATGGGGGGGAAGGGGTGCAGAGCAGATTTTTGTGGATGACCTGCTGCTCTCGCATACTGCTGGAATAAATGCTCATGTATGATTCAACCCTGTCTCTGCTTAATTGGCTCAAGTAGTGACAGGCAGCCTGGACCCATCGGTTCTCTGGTTTCAAAACAAAAAGTAGCCTAAGAGGAGAAAGAAAGCAACTATCCCAATTTGGAAGCATTTTCACCAGTATCTAAAAGAACTAATCTCTTTACATTTTCAAGTACCAAAATTAAGATTAACTTTACAAGATAAAGGACGAAGACTAACTCATCATTATACTATTAATGTATAACATGGAGACAGGTATATAGTAGCTGCTCAAGAAGTGCCTGTGGAACAGATCAACAATTCTGACCTAATTTTTTTTTTTACTTTCTCTAGTTTGCTATATTTTTGATACACCCCATCCATTTTTCTTCCTTGATGATGTACAAGTCCTCCTTAATTAAGTTATACTTAATATTTACTGTTTTTAATTTGGCACTACGAAATCTTCTAACATTCCTTTTTTTTTTTTTTAAGTGGGAAGCCTCAGAAATTTCATCAGAACACATTGTGCCTCCTAAACATTTGTAATCTGATAACACTGATCACTGAACCTGAGATGTTCGCCAGCTTCTGTCTTAGACATCTCATTGCACCTAGCTCACTTCCTCCCAGAAAGCCAGTGAAATCTGCAGCCTGAGGGCCACCGGCAAAATTCTGTGGGGAATCTCTGGAGTGTGTTCTTTCCCTGCTTATTGTCTGATCCTAATTGCAGCGAATCACAGTGAGCTTACTGAAGAAGAGGAAAGGAAGAAGGAAAGAATTATACACACCTAAATGGTTTTCTTAAATAGGTTAGTCTTTTAAAACACAAAAATGATTAGCATATCACAGTCTAATCTTCAGCAGCTTAGTTTTGCGACTGTGGTCACGCCAAGCAGAGGGGATGCCAAGCATGAACAGGAGTATGAAGATAAACCCCAGGGAGAAAGGAATGTAGTTCAGCATTTCGTTTTATGTGATAATTCACAAAATTGCCAGAAATATCAGTTGGTGGGCATTTCCATTATTGTTCTCAGCCTAGTCAGATGCAATGAAAAGGAATGATTTCAAGAGTGAAGGCAGCCAAATAGGACTTCTTGGCAGGTTTCAATGTTTCATTCTGGCATTTGATTAGAAACTTATTTAGGGGTGGGGGATGGGGCACAGCTCCTGAATCTTGCACTTAACCTGCACATCTGTGTTTTCCAGTTGCCAGATTTGAGCTTGTTTCCATGCATTTGGTTTCATTCCACTCTTTCAGAGATTTCTCTTGAACATGAAAAAATCTTCTTGCTTTACACACATTTTATGAAGTGCCAGGATTAAATCAACTTTGAAAACAACCAGCGAGAGAACATGGAGCACAGACAGCTTAAACTCACTGAGT